TGAAAGAGAATGTGAGTCTTACGTACATTCCCCTCAATGCCGAAATGTGTATAAGCATCTGTGTAGGTGTTCAGGATCTCCTGTAGGTCGCGTTAAGTGTGACCGACAAGGGTGAGGTTACCTACATAATGAAGTTCAGTAATGGAAGTTGCGGACAACTTTTTTCCTGCATGGAGTCGTCTTATGTTGAAAAGAACTTTCATCTGGTGCTGGATGTCCACCCCGCCGGCTAAATTGGCACTGGCATTAGTATAAAAGGCAGCCAAGAAAATGGAAAAAGAGAGTTGGTGGCAGTACATATCCTTGTTTTACCCCCGTTTGAATAGGGAAGAACTCAGACTGGGTGCTATGTGTAGGACACTGCCGTTCATGTTATCGTGGAGTTGTCTCACAAAGGCAATGCATTTTGGTGTGCAGCCACAACGGTTGAGGTTCCGCCAGAGGGCTTCCCTGTTGACCGAGTCTAAGGCCTTGGTTAGGTCGATTAAGGCTATGTACAGGTCACGACGCTGTTCTTTGCACTTTTCCTCCATCTGGTGGGCAGCAAAGATCATGTCAGTGGAGCCACGTGATGGTCTAAAGCCACACTGGTATTCTGGGAGGAAGTTTTCCGCCTCAGGAAGAAGTCTGTTCAGGAGGACTCGGGAGATAATCTTACCAGCTAAGGACAGCAGTGAGATCCCGGAGTAGTTGCCACAGTCTGGGTGGTCTCCCTTGTTCTTATAAATATTGATGAAGGAGGTGTCTTTAAGAGCTTGGGGATTTCCTCCTTTTCTCATATATTCTCCAGGAGAGAGTGGAGACGGCTGGTGTGCAGAGGTCCTCTTGCTTTATACACCTAGACTGGGATTCCATCAGGCCCTGAGGCTTTGTTATTTTTCATCTGTTTGATGGCAGTAGCTACCTCATCCAGGGCTGGAGGGTAATTAAGGTGGGTCAGCTCTGGATGTTGAGGGACCTGCTGGGTAGTCAGGACATCCACATTGGTGTTTCGATTGAGCAGTGAATGGTAGTGCTTTTTCCAGCACTGAAGTATTTCTTCTTCGTCTTTAATTAGGGAGTTACTGTCGAATGAGCGGAGAGGGGCTGGGTCATGAGTGACTGGTTAATAAAATGTTTTGGTGGAATTAAAAAAAAATCGTATATCATGAGATGATCTGCAAATTTTTTGTTTTTTCGCATTCTTTATTTTTAAACCAGTCGTTCTTTAGATTGCGAAATTCACGCTGGGCCGCTGCTTTCTTCTTGTGGAAGGTATCAGCTTTGGTTCGAGATTGAGGGTTGTTCTTCCACTCTTTTAAAGCAGCACGTTTATCATTGACGAGTGCATTGATTTCTGGATCATTTTCATGAAACCAGCCCTGGTGTATTCTTTCCATCTGGTAGAGGGTCTATTTGCAGGTTTTTGCTATGACAGTGTCGAGAATACCCCATTCGAAACTGGACTTTGGGTTGTTTGTTGTTGTGTTATTTATGAGCCCATGTTCGAGGTGCTCCCTGAAGGTATGTGTTACCCTTGGATCCTCCAGACGCTTAGTGTTAAATCCTCATCCAGAGGCTCGTTGCTTTCTCCGTTTTGGGGTGATGTGAAGTGAGAGTTTGGCTCTGACGAGTAGGTGATCAGTGTAGCAGGGGTCTGAGCCACGCATAACTCGAGTGAAGAGGACATCTCGGAGATGTTTTTCTTTGAAAATAATGTAGTCCATCTGACGCCAGTGTTTGGATCATGGGTGTTGCCACGAACCCTTGAACTTGTCGGCTTGCCTAAACAAGGAAATTGGTGATAGTGAGGTTGAGTACAGCACGCTTGCTGAGGAGGAGTAGGCCATTGGAAATACACTTGCATAATCCATTTCTCCCTATGATTCCCTGTCAAATGTCAGCATCTCTGCCAACTCAGGCATTGAAGTCACCTAGGAGCACAACCTTATCTTCTCTGGGGATAGAGGTTAGCACTCTGTCAAGAACAGCATAAAAGGCCTTCTTGATGTCATCCTTTGCATCCAATGTCGGGGCGTAGGTAGTAATGAAGAAGGCATGTCTGGAGTGATTCAGTGGGACTCAGAGCATCAGGAGGCGCACGTTGATCCCAACAGACATTTCAGTTAGCCTCCGTTTTCAGCCTTCATGGATGAGAAACCAAGAAAGACTCCAAACTCCATCAGGAGAGAAATGAGGACTCCCTACTCCACCCAGGTGAGGAACTATGAATTCCTACCTACATCAAATGAGGAACAAGACCCATCTCCGTTACCCTGTGTAAGCTGAAGGACCTGCCCGGATCGCGTGGTGGATGTGCTAAACATCTGCAGCTGTAGTGAGGGAGCGGCTTAGCACCTTGGTACGACGGCCAACCAAACAGTGGGAAGGACTTTGTTGGCGCCAATATCAGGTCACAAGAATGTTTGCTAGACCAGCTCCCACAGTACCAGCTCTATAGTTAATATATACAGTATGTTGACGCTATGTTTCTTTTTAAATTTTTTGTATTGAAAGCTTCTGTCGATCAAGTGACCCACTCCCCAATTTCACCATATGTAGCTTCAGTGAGAAAACAAACGAAGAATTTGAACGACACAAGTTCCGGATGCTGGCGCAGGAGGTCGGGGAAGTACACACAACTATGTAACCTGCCTACGTACACAAGAGGCCAAGTGCAACTTCGACAACTACAACCTTGACAAAGCCATCATCGACCAGTTGACGAAGAAATGTACTTCACATAAAATGCGTCGTCCATACCTGAAGGAGACAGACATAACAGTACAGAAAGCTCTACAAATCACTTACACTTATAAATCAACTGAAGCCCAAGCTTGCCAGATGGAGCAAGGTGAAGAAAGCACCAATGTGAACAAGGTAAACACAAGATACAAACAACAACAACAGCGGGACTGGGAAAGCAATCGAAGACCACAAAGTAAGGATATGCCACGCGACCCAAAACTGAACTGTCTTGGGTGTTATGGCACTGGCCATCGACTTGGACAGAGACAATGTCCTGCATTTGGAAAAAATTTCAACTACTGTGGAATCGTCAACCACTTTGCCACCGCGTGCATAAAAAAACATAACCGACAAGAGAGGGTCAGACAACTGACGGAGGACAGTTCGACGGGTAACGACGACAACCACTTACACCAGGTGTCGTCCAAGAGCACAAAAGAATCTGACGATGGCCATACCTATGTGTTCAGAGTGACATCAGACGACACTGCAGAGGAAAAGGTGATGATAGAAGACGTACCGGTCGGAATGTCGATTGACTCAGGGGCAAACGTCAATCTAATTGACGGGGGCACAATCGACCACATCATCAAAATACGACCGAACATAGTACTCAAGGAAACGAATATCCAACCTAAAGCGTATGGAAACATTCCCATCCCACTCCGAAGAGAGTTCTTTGCAACACTGTCAAATGGATCGAAGAGAGTCGCACACAAAATCCTGGTAACAACAGCGAAACAGGGAGGGAATATTCTGAGAAAGCGAGCCAGCTTAGATCTTGGCCTTCTCAGTATCCACCAGAATAACCGGATTACGACCAGTGAGATGCCTTCATCAACCCGGAGGATACTGGAACAATATCTACCAGCGCTGAATGGACTGGGGAGAATTAAAAAACTTCCAACTCAAGCTCGACATCGACCCAAATGTCAAACCCGTCGCACAGCCACCTCGGAGTGTACCATTTCACATTCGAGGCGCAGTCGAACAGAAGATACAAGAAATGCTAGATAATGATATCATCGAGAGCGTGGAAGGCCCTACACCGTGAGTGTCCCCATTGGTGATTGCTCCAAAACCAGATGGAGATATCAGGATATGCGCAGACCTCCGCATAGCAAACAAAGCGGTGAATCACATGCGCCATCCTATGCCAACCGTGGAACAACAACTCAGCGAAATCAACGGGGCCACGAAATTCTCAAAAATCGACCTAAACTCATACTATCATCAGATCGAGCTAACCCCCGAATCGAGAGATATAACAACATTCTCGTGCGACTCCGGTATCTACAGGTACAAGGTGTTAGTCATGGGCATTGCATCAGCCGCGGAACAAGGACAACGTCTGCTACAACAGATTTTGCAAAAGTGTCCGAATTGTCGGAATGGAGAGGATGACATCCTGGTCTGGGGTAAGGATACGAGTGAACACAACAGTGCTCTGGAAAAAGTACTGCAAAAGTTGAAGGAGAACAACCTGATCATCTCCCAACACAAAAGCGTGTTCCACATAGATGAAGTTGAATTCCATGGATTCACTGTATCCAAAGAGGGCATCAAACCGACAGATGAAAAAATCGAAGCCGTGAAGAGGTTCAGACGGCCAGAAACGGGTCAGGAAGTCCGCAGCTTCCTAGGTCTGATCAACTACCTCACCAGGTTCATACCACGATTAGCGACATTGAGCGAACCTCTGAAAAACCTGACGAGAATGAACAGCAAGTGGACCTGGACAGAAAAAGAAGAGCGGTGCTTCAACAAGCTGAAGGAGGCCGTCATGAAGAGCGAGGCATTCATGCACTTCAACCCTCAGTTACCAACCACACTAATTGTGGATGCTAGTCCGGTAGGACTAGGGGCAATGCTTTGCCAAAACCACCAAGGGGTACGCAACCCATCAGTTATGCCTCCCGTTCACTGACTCAGGTGGAAAGACGGTATTGTCAGCTGGAGAGGGAAGCCTTAGCCATTGTTTGGGCATGTGAAAAATTTTATCTATATCTTTACGGGAAAGAATTCACCATCATGACCGATCACCGAGCGCTAACGACCATCTTCAGCCCGAAAGGCAAACCATCAGCCCGTATACTCCGGTGGATCCTAGGCATGCAACAGTACGACTTCACCGTCCAACACATGAAGGAAGTGACAATCCGGCAGACATACTGTCTAGACAACCCCTGCCATTCGATGCTCAAATCTCTGAAGAAGAGAAACTGGCAGAGGGATTCATCAACTATGTGGTTGCCAACGGGATACCGAAAGCTATGACACTGTCCGAAATTCTCGAAGAATCAGGGAAGGATCCGACTATAAGAGCCCTCGAAGACGCCATCGCCAAGAATGACTGGACGGATAAACTAATGGAGCCTTTCAAACACGTACTTGAAGAACTGACATCAAAACGGGGACTCGTGTTGAGGGGATCCCGGATCGTAATGCCCCAAACACTACAACGACGCACGATGCAACTCGCACATGAGACACACCTGGGAATGGTCAAGACCAAGGCGCTACTCCGAGGCAAGGTATGGTGGCCAACTATCAACAAGGACGTGGAGAAGGCAATCAGACAATGCATCCCATGTGCAAGCCTTGACACAAGAAAACAAACCAATCCGGCGAATATGTCTGAGATGAAGGGGCTGTGGGAGGTAATCCACGTGGACATATGTGGACCGTTCCCTAGTGGTGAGTATGTGCTGGGAATCATCGATGCAGGATCCCGGTGGCCAGAAGCCTTTGTGGTCAAAATTATCAACACGGATACCGTTACGACCCTGATCGAAGGATGCATCACTACACATGGCATCCCAGCGGTCATCGTGTCAGATAACGGACCACAGTTCAGAGCCAAGGAGTTTGCACAGTTCTGTGAAGAATGGGGAATAAAACACCACAAAGTGACACCATATCATCCCCAAGCAAATGAGGAAATCGAGCGGTTCTTTGCGACCATGTTGAAAGCACTCCGAGCGATGCATACTGAGGGGAAAGATTGGAGACGGCAACTCGGTAAATTCTTGATGCACTACAGGAACACCCCACACTCAATGACGGGAGAGACGCCAGCCAAACTCCTCATGGGAAGGAACATCAAGGTGAAACTCCCCCAAGTGAGTCATGACTTGGAAGACACACAAGTGACATGTTGGGCTGTGGCACGCAAAAGAGATAAAAGAGAAAAGGAGAAACTGAAACTCCGGACAGACAACTGAACAAGTCCAAACTAGCGGAATTGAAACCAACTGATCAAGTGCTTTTGAAGCAAACCAAGAAAGACAAGCTCTCAACTAATTATGATCCTAAACCGTGGACGATAAGTGAAAGGCGAGGTGATTCAGCTATTCTACAGCGAGGACCCAAGAAGATATTACGCAGCACATCCCAGATGAGAAGAGTTCCAGGGAGATGCCAAGGAGGAAATGACGGCAGTGGAGACAGTGACACAGACGGAAGCCACAAAACGGCCGAGAGAGCCGACAACACTCATCGAAACCTGGAAAACAACCAAGCCGCCAACACGCCGAGGACAGGGATGGATAAGTCCAGGCAGGACGGGAACAGCGAGGAGGAGCCACTCGCTGCTAGGCGACCACGTCGTACTATAGTAAAACCGAAGAAATACCAGGATGGAGCTGAAGACTTCGGAACGGATGGAAGTGAAAGCTCTGGAACGGATGAAGTTGATGACTCCGAAATGGATGAAGAGACAAGTGACGAATATAAACCCGGCCGTTCATGGAGCTAAAGAGAACGGCAATACAGAACTGTCATCATGAATAAAAGGGAGGGGAAGATGTACTGTTCCAAGCGTATAGTCATTGGAGTGTGTGTACTAGTATAGGTGTGAGATGGTGTAGCCTATGTGTGTTAATTCATGTTCTGTACATTTCAGGTATTGGTGCCTTCTGTATTGAGACAATAAACATCAACAAAATCAAACAGTATATTACTGACTGACGGTGCATACAGTAAAATTATTATTATTATTACACACACACACACACACACACACACTCACACACACACATATATTAAGGCCTGCATTATCGTTCTTACATAGTAGAGATTAAACCATCCATCCTCAAAGAGTCTAATATTTTGTACCTTTGTATACAGTATGTTGGTGTTACAGTGTTAGCCTTCCAAGAGAATTGAATAGTTATCCCTTACAATACTGTACTGTCGGTTCAACAGATACTTTCGTATAAATTATTTGTTTACTTTTATTATACTGTATTTTAGGATGATTATTTAAATTGTATTCATGTTTTAACTATTTTAGTAAATCATAGGAAATCCAAATGACAGCTTTAGTTCATTTATACGAAAACAGAATATTAGAGTAAAGGTAGATGGCGCCAATAGCTTCCATCATCGTGGGCTCTCTCTCACATGGTGACGCTTTGTAAACATTGTGATTGGCATACTTGGAGGAATTTTGGTTTGTATAACTGCAGGATTGCAGTGTCAGGATACATTTGTGTAATATTATGATGGAGTTGTGTGTGGGAGTTATGATTTTGTAAAAGAGAGAATCTTATAATTATTGGGAAGATAGATATTTGAGAGAAATTAGAGTCAAGATGCACTGTGTTGTGCTGGGTGATTATGGCTAAGTTTCCAACTTGTAATTTGAGCTGTCAGTATATTCCCTTTTCTTCACTATACTTTGTTTATTGTTGCCAATGAATTTGGTAAAATTATCGTTTTGGTCATCCAGCGATTTTTATGATTTTAAGCTGTGATTGGTTGATTCAAAATTCTTACCAACCAATCATTGTCCAGAGAACAACTGCTCATATGTCAGACTTTATCGCATGCGTAATGAGCATAGTAAACAATAAACGAATACGCATGGACAGAAGAAATGCTATAGAAGAAACGTGTCTTAGAATTTTCTAAGTTACTGATTCCAAAACTTAAAACCCTAAAAATCACTGGATGACCGAAATGATAATAATACCGTGAATTTTAATACAACCTCATAGCACTGTAAGAGTATTTTCAAAGTTACTCCAGCTTTCAGGTAATGGTTAATCGATGGTATGTTAACCAAGGCTGTTATTTTGTAACAGCACCTTTGCTTTATATAAATATTCATCGAAATGAATAACACCAACTTATTCACAAAGTTATTCAACAATGACTCATGTAAGGGCGGTAACGAGCAGGAAGGTTGTCCGACGCTCGTTTGCTTGTTCGCGACCCCCACTAGGGTGGGGTTGGGGGTGGACGGAAATTAGTGACCCAGATTCTGATAGTCAGTCATCTACAAGTTCACAGGAGCTAATGGCAACTGATATTGAAGTTACCACAAATTAGCCAAATAGACTTAACACCTACAGACTCTTTAGCTAGCAGTTAAAATATCATAGATTCTCAGTTTAAGGACTTACACAGTAGATAACTAAGGTCAAGTAACATTTACCCATTGCCTTTACCTGTTACTAACGCTAGTGCTTTAGCTAACACAACAAAAATGGCAACAGGTGGTTCTACTAACCCACAGACTTCATCGGTCTGTCAAACTGTAAAATACTTCCAAATAACATTAAGGTACAAGAATTTACTGCAGAGAATGCAGATTATAATACCTTAACATTTTTGAATAAGTGCGAAGATGTAATGAGAACCAATAATGTTACAAACGATTAGGATAAAATCTCATACGTTCGAAACAACGTCCAAACCGGTAGTCGGGCAGATAGAATGATGTATGCTTCAGCCATTGATGAGGCAACAGATGACTATCCAATGTTTAGGAAACAACTCATATCCTTTTTCGGGTCAGGTACCAAAGGAGGTGCGTTTACCTGGATTTTCAAGATGGCAGAGTGTACACCTAGCAATGTTTGCTAACGACGTACAAGAGGCACAGGCTTTAGCCGGACACATTAAAATGCCTGTAGATCTCAAAATTTACATGTCATCCTCAAATTGGTTTGATGATGAAGAAAAATTATCGAAAGAAAATTTCTACAATATCATTGAGCTCCTACAGTTTATCATGGCGCTACACGAACATACACGCAAGGCAACCAGAAAGAAAGAATATAAAGTAGGGACTAAGCTTTCTGAACAGGTGTAAAATACTCCTAGGGCTCTGTCCGTAGCACCCATAACCAGTCTAAGGAACAACCACAAACTATCACCGAAACCGAACCCAAAAAGGTACCTTTTTCCCAAATCTGCAAACGTAAGGGACATGCCACAGAAAATTGTTGGTTTGGAGGACAAAAGCCAAGATAGTCCCCAGCAAGATCGAGGGAAAGGATCCTCCCTGGACTTTAAAAATCCAGAGATTCCTACTAAACCAAAAAGTCTAAAAGGACACTTCACAGTAAATATAATGCCAACAAACACTAAAGGCACTCCGAATAAATGATGTTTACTACATGAGTCTCTATACCACAATACAGAAGATTGAATGAATCTACAGCACCTGAAGCAAGAGCTTGCAAACCGACGAGAGACAAGTACACAGCTTTCAGGGGAAGATGCGCGCGTCCGGCAACACGATCTAGGGTAGCGTAAACGATGCAAGAAAACTAAGCTTCCATCACCGGCTCATTAATCGCCACGTTAAACAAAGTGGAGGTGTTGACTACCAGCGAGGATAGGTAACAATCAGTTGTCTTTAGACATAGATACGGGGGCCTGTGCCAATGTTATCTCATTAGTGTCGTTCAATGAATTCAAGCGACTATATCCTCCAAATAAGTGGCCAATAAAACCTACTGACATTCCTCTGTCCTGTGTGTCAGGAATCCAGTTAGACATAGCGGGTTGACAGCACTGCCAATCCATTTTTCTAGTTCCAGTAAAGCTTTTCTGGCGGATTTCTACATCGTCAAGGCATTCTCTTTGCCAGCGGACAGGTTAATTGATCTTTCCACACTAAAGTAGAACAACATTAACGTGTAACAGCACCTTTTGAATTATATAAATATTCACCCAAATGTAAAGCACAAATTATTCACTAAGTTATTCAACAATGACTCAGTATTTGTTCACGTTATACACGCTGAGCGTGTAACTCTCTTAGAAGTCAAGAGAGGTCAACCTGACAAATCAAGACACAGCTTGACGGCTTCCCCTCCCCCACGTTCGGTGGAGAGAGCAAAATCTTACCACTAGTTAAGGGGTGAACACCTAATTTAAGTGTTCACATGTATATGAGTACTCAAGATACTTCCATGGAGAGAATTCACAATACATTCTCTCCTAAACTCAGGATTGTGTATATAATTGCTTCAACAATAAATAAAAGCCCAGAAGAAGTGTTTACATCAGCCCTGCCACTTAAGAGTTCCAAAACTTATTTAAAAAAAATGTGTGATACAAAACAGCTATCACATACTGGTGGCAGCCGAATGAGACGAAAACGAAAACCAGTGAAACACCCAGAAACAATGAGCCAAGCGATTATAGTGCTTGTGACACTTCAAGTGAATCATTAACAAACAAGCATTAACCAAAAAAATAAGTGGACAGTGGTGATAAACACTCGCAAAACATATACACAGAAACAGTGTTAACACAGACATTATAAAAAAGATTGCAAACTCAGCAGTCAAGCCATCAGCGACACACATTTGAAAGTTACCTGACTGTACCCGAGAGCAGCCGAGCCTACCCGAGTGTTGGCTGAGTTTCAAAGCCAGCTATAGGCCAGCCAGCTATAGGCCAGCCAGCTATAGGCCAACCAGCTATGGGCCAGTCAGCCAGCCAACCAATCCTTCCTCATCCCCATGGAACTCGCCTTTTTTCATGGTTCCCAAGAAAGATGGAGGATGGAGACCAGTCATAGATTTTCGACGAGTCAACCAGGCAACTGTACCAGACAGGTTCCCAATGCCTGTCATAACTGACTTACTACAGTCTCTAGGAAAAGACAACGCCGTCTTCAATAATTTAGATTTACTTAGCGGGTACTGGCACATTCCCTTACATGAGGAATCCCGCGAGGTAACTGCATTCAGTACCTGTACACAAATGAGAAATTTCGAATTCTTAAGAATGCTATTTGGCTTGGGATATGCACAGCTAACATTCCAAAGAATGATAAATACCTTATTTGCTGGAATGATAGGTACCACAGTCTATGCCTATATAGATGATCCTATAATAGTAAGCAAAGATTTACAAAGCCATTTGTAGTGATGGGTTGTCAGACCACAGCTTTCATCTCAGAAACAGTCCAGACCTGACC